ACAGGCAACGTTATTTTTTTTGGCTGCTGTCTCTAACATGTCACTAATGTTTAGCCAAATGAACTCAGAGGATTATAACAGACAGGGATGCTGGGGAAAGTGACAGGCACAGAGAAAAGTGCAGCAAGAAGCTAATTTACACATTCAGCTTCACAGCCTGAACCTTCCTTCCTGCTCAATAAGCTCATCAGCTGTTTCTTCATAGCTGCTAGCCAGCTTTCAGAGAAACGAGGGAGCTCACAAAATCTTCCTCTTTGCCTGCCTGCCTGCTTAGACACAACAGATCCTAATAAAAAACACTGTTTAATATTGTTGAAAATAAGTCCTCTTTTACATGGAAATGTGAATTTAATATAAATAGTTGGTGCTGCTCTGCTTCTGATTGAAGTCGCTGTGTAGCCTTTCAAATCACTCGGGAGACGCTGGCTGTTGATGAAACGTGGCCTAATCTCAGAGGGGATCTCTGTTCTCGCTTGCCTCTCCTGGGGTGCTTTCTGCACTCCATGATGGATGTTTTCTCAGAAAGGGGTCAGTGATATTTCAGAAAAAGCAGTAACATCTGCAGTTGCAAAATCACTGCTGGTTCTCCATGAAGTAGGGTTATCGTGGGAGAGAGAATGGAGTGACCATAATGCAGTAGCTTTGCAAAGGAGCCCAGACTTTCTGCCTTTGTCCGTGCAAGGTGTTTAGTTCCTGCGTAGTGCCTGCGGCCACAGTGCACAATCTCAGGCGCTCGTGGCGGCATACCCCTCGCACAAAGCTTGCCCACGCTGCAGTCATGGCAGGGGCAGCCCCTGCAGGGGTACGTGACCCGGCTCGCTAGCTCGGGTACCGACAGTCGCTTGGCTACCTTTGTGCTGGGGCTGCTTCCAGCTCAGGCATCGCTGCCCGCGTTGCTCTAATAAGCACGTCAATTTTGCTAAGCAGCATGAAGAATGAGAAACAGTGTTATGGAAACAATATATAAAATTCCAATTCTCCAAAATTAGATTTTTCTTACAATTTTCAGTTCATGGGGAAATTAAAACAACAAAGTTCTTTTCTAGCAGCAGAAATGCTGCTTTTTTTCCGCCAGTTCCAGTCCCTTTCTGTTTATGAGACAGTATAAGTTTTCACTGTGTAATAAAAACAATCATCTGTATTCCTTGGCTGCAAGCAACAATACTGTGAGAGAGTGGAGCAAGTCACGATGCTTTTGGAGAATATGAATTATCTCCACCACAGAACAAAGCACAGAAGGACCCTTGAGCACTGTGTGAAATTGCAGAACAACATATCAGGCCTGTCTCTGAACCTCTGCAGTTTAACTGGGAGACTTCCTGCTTTTGAGAAGAAATTTCGCCTTTGAATATCCTCCAAGGTCGCCGGGCCCATTTATTTCTGAAGTTCAAACTGTTGCTCGTGTTTTTTAAGGCCAGGAGGCACGGGCAAGGATTTTTGCCGGCGCAGTTCAGTTGAGGAGCGTAGGTATCATCTTCAAACCACCGGAATTGTGGCACAGCTCCAAAACGAGCAGAACATTCCCGGCCTGCCCCGAGGAACGGGCTCCCCCACCCGTGGCGCGTGGGGACGCGCGCAAGTCCCCACGGCGCGGGTGACGACGTGCTCGAGCCCGGGCGTCTTGCTGCTTGGCGACACGGAAATTCGTCCGCGGGCGTCGAGAGCCCTGGAAGTTACAGAGGGATTTCGGTTGCTAGCAGGATTTGTTCCCCGAGGGCTGCAGCAGTGAACCGGCGGCCCGATCCCCCC